TGGCGGAGAGTGTGATTCTGAGGAGACAGTGATCACTGCCGAGCGTTTCTTCTAAGTTTTCCCATGTTGCGTAGGAAATGTTCTTAGTCAGTGATAGACCCGGGCAAGTATCTCGGTTTACAGAATTCCCAATTCTAGTCGGTTTCATCGGATCTGTGAGAAGCAATAGACGAAGAGTGGATATGAGTTCTGCCAATTTCCGTCCCCTGGGGACTTCGCGGTGTAACCCCAGTGATAGCTGGGGGCATTAAAGTCACCTAAAATCACCAGTGGGTACTCATCTGCTTTCTTAATCGCTTTATAAAATATTTCGTTGAAGACACATTGCCTAGATTTTGGAGAACTGTATACATTTAGAATGTACAAGCTAGGATCTCGTTTTTATTGGGAAGGACATTGACCATTGTGTATTCATGCGCCTCTGACAGATAAAGGTCTATCTGACAAGCGGTATACTTTTTGTGTACAAGAACACAGGTGGACACATTTCCCTGAAATGAGTTGTAACCAGGCAATTTCGCCTGTAAGCCGGTTTCTTGTAGTGCGCAAACTGCAGGGGTAAAATGTTGATTCTGCAGGAAAAAGTTAAGAGTGGCCCTCTTTTTCCTCTCCTTAACCCCCTGCAGTTCCACAGGAAAATATTGAGTTGCTGTTGTTTGGACCTTTTATTATTATGTTTAGAACTGCCTGCCATCATGGATTTAATATTGAGGAGGTGTAATTTTTGCCACTGCAGCCAGCAACGGGAAGCCTGGAGAAGTGTGGGGGACTCAGTTTGGTTTGTTAACGGCTGGGCTATGTTGCTCTCGGATTCAGAATTTGCTTGGTTACGATGAACAATTTTGCGCCGGGTTGTTCTGTTGTCTTAATGCTAGTTTTGAGTTGGTCCAATTGGGGTGTGAGTCAATTTGTTATACCTGTATGTTTATTTCATATTTGTTGTACATGATTAACTGCCATTCCTGCTGCTTTGTCAACTTGTGAACGGGGTCAGGACCTCGTCATGCTCTTGAGCTTTTAGTCCTATACTCCACCTTATATAAAGGAAATAAAATGATTGATTGATTGATTGATTTTGAATGGTTTGTAGTACAATGGCTGTGAGAATTGGCAAAACGCTCTGCTTGAGGTCTTGCATAGCCGCTTGGACTGATAGGTTCAGCAGCTGCGAAATAATTTCTTGTACTGTAAGCTTGGTTTGTTCTAGGATCATTTTGCTCTGCTCCTCAAGTTTAGTCTCTAGTCTGCTTAGTCGACCTTCTATGTCGTTCGAAGCACCTACTACAGTTTTAGACACACTAGTGTTACCCGATACGTCTGACTGAGTGTCCTGGTCATCGTCCGAGCAGTCGGAGGTGTGCATAGCCACCGGTTCCGACGGTGGTGAAGGAGTAGCAGCCTGCGACGTCTTCAGCGCTCGATTTTTGCGTTCCAGAGTTTCAATGCATTTTTTCATGGCTTCCAATTGTTTTAAAATTTCAGGATTGAAGGGGGAGGCAGTGGTGGTGGTGGGAGACTGAGAGGAGACCTCTACCTAATTGCTCACCTGTTTGGGCGGGTTTGCCACTGACGGGAAATCCTCGGCGCCGAAGGTAGGCGGCCGCGACTTCTGTCTGGCTGGAGCTTTGATCGGCTTAGGCTTTTTATGCATGGGCTTTGCGTTTTGGCCAGCCTTGATAGGTGCTGAGTGCTCTCCTTGCTTGTTTTTTAGTCCATGTTGCCGCTGTGGTAGAGCGGGCTTCCATGCCTTCTGGAATTTTCCGACGCACTGCGCAGAGCCGGTGAAATGGTTTTCACTGCATATAAGGCACTCGGGTTGACAGTCGTGCTTCGCTGGGCCCTCCAGAGTGAGTTCCACCTTTGCGCCACAGTGAATGCACCGCTGGTTGTCCGGATTGGGGCACGCATCTAGTCTGTGACCCACCATTCCACACCGGTAACATGCCGGAACCGTTTTCTTGTAGCAGAGCACTGGCACGTTTTCATAGCAGTAGTGAATGAATCTTGCAACGGGGCGTCCTTTGAAGGTCACCACTGCAACGTTGGATGCTCCGAGTTTCCGCACATACAAAATTTCGCCGTCGATCCACTCGAGCTTGCGTCGAAGGGATTCCGAAGTTTCATTGTCTGGGACGGTGACGACACCCTTGCAGGTTTCTCTCGCTGATTTCAAATGTCCTTGAAAAGGTAAATGGCGGTCCCCAGCGTGATGTCCCCGTTGAGCTTCGAGGCCAGGCTTTCCGTTTTCACACCTACAACAACGATGTTTTGGTCCCACAATGGCCACACGGAGATACCAGCGTTTGTGGTGCTGCCGGTGAAGCGTTGCACTGCTGTGCCAATCCTGCCTGGGCCGAACGCAGCGTGCAGATCCATGGTTATTTTTGGTTTAAGCACAATAACCAACTCGTCCGACCGGATTCGAGGCGTTTGTGTTGGCTTCCACGTCGCCAGCTTCGGCGGGGACTCAACGCAAGCGGCGGGTGTTGATCCTGTTTTGCGAGCCTGTGGCTTGGCGGCGGCCGTCGAGCCTCGGGGCTTCATTTTAGCGAGCTTCTCTTGCAGTTGGCGAACCATGATCTGAAGATATTCGTCTTCACCCGGTATGGGGTCTTCCCGTGTTTCTGCCACCTCGATGTCAACCCACTGCATCGTGCTGGGGTCGTAGCCTGTCTTCGTGGACGCTGCCATGGCTGGGGAGCCCGGGCGTAAGCCTCGTCGGCGTTAGGCTTAGCCGGGCTCGGGCGTCGCGTGGTGTTCAACCAGTCGTAGATTGGCGGAAAATGGGCCTACCTGGATAAAATAGGTATCCAGAGGTTCCTGATGACTTCGCTGAAACGCTGAAACCAGTTTCTGGTGGATATTTGCCAAAATTCCACAAAATTCGTCAATTTCCAACGAAGCCGACATGACATGCGTCTCACGCGCGCGCTGAAACGCTGCGTTTTCCCTAGAAATAACTAAAGTATCGCCATGCGTATGCTTGGTAGTGCAAGCGCCATCTTGTCTGTCAAGCGAACGCATGCTCCGCGACTGCGTACCCTCTGTCATGTGCCGGGAGAGGATATGCCTGTGTCCACAGTTTCCTGGCAACAATGCAGAGGCACTGCTGGGAGAGGAGACGCGGTTTGCGCTACTTTGGTTTTTGCAGGGACTTTGCTCCACTTTGGTGTCTCTCGTTGCCTGGGAGCAACCAGAGCAGCATAGTCCTTGTGTAAAGATAGCCTGCACCATGTAAGCTTCGATGATGTGATGTGGCTTGGAGAAAAATGAAAAACTGTTTGGCGCTACGCAGTCAACCTCTGAACCAATAATGGTTTTCACTTGAATCTTTATTGATTTCTTTGTGTCTGTATACAGAAACTGAACAAAAGGTGCCTGGACAATATTACTTCAAATACAGCTTGACAATCAGTCTTATTTCACTTCTAGCACACAGTTTTATATACATTTATGTTCACATAGTTGTACAGCATAGTTTTAAAGCAATACAAAAAGAGATCTACAAATATATACAAGTATAATCAGCAAGAAGCACATCGTGCTTTATACAAAAAAAAAGTTCGATGAGCACAGGGTTGGAATAGACAAGTGTATCGTGCGCAGCTAGACTTAAACTTAATGTATATCCATTTAGAAGAAAGCTATTTAGAAAAATTTTTCACAAGAATATTATTTTAAGTATCCTGCCGTTGTTCATGTTTCGTAAACTCTGCACCCATAAGCAAGAATTGCAGATGGAGTATAGCCTAATATCTGGAAAATGTACAATTATCTTAACAAAACAATAAACTTGGTTAGCTGTAGCAACATCTTGGAATGCCAAGACATTGCAATTTCGTCGAAATATTTATACTACTTTACTTCTATAATCCAATTCCATGAGAACACGGAGTCTTTATCCTTCAAGAGGCAAAGTCCACCAAGGTTGCTGCCCTGTCACATTGTTCCTTCACTTCTATGTGGTGCCCATAAATAAATGTTGTGCTACAAAGTAATGCAATCTAACTGAGCTACAAACAGTAAAACCTACTTGAATCATTATAGAAAGATTGGGCTTCATTTATGCATACATCAGGCCTTTGATTCTGGTGCAAATTTTTTTTAATATATTTAATCTCAAACAAATCTTTGCAGAACGAAATCTCAAGCTTCATTTATAGGAAATTTTATTCTCAGTGGTGAATTAATATAGCGTGCTGCGCCATTCTCCACTCAGATCGTAAGCCAGTAGAGAATTTCAGCCAGACAGTTTTTTTTTAAGTTTTCTTTAGTTGTGGAGGCTTGGCTCCTGCCTTTGCAGAACAGTCCGCTTGTATTGGTGGTTTGATTTGGTAAAGTTTCGGTGCATTTTCAATGCCTAAGGAAAAAACAGGCAATCACCTGTTTGCGGCACGAAGCCATACGGATTTATCTGAAAGAAAGCTTATCTGCTGGAGAATTCTTCCTGGCCCGGGGTTTGAACCTAGGGCAACACTTTTATGGGGCAGCTGCTCTACTCGTTGAGGAAGCTAGCAAAGGGCAAATTCATCTACAGCCTGATGCACAAATATTGTTGCAAATCAAGGGAGAAGCCAAGTAACCATAAAGGCCTACAAGAAAGACCACCACATACAAGCATTTTGGTGTCCCAACTTCTCTCTTGTGAGTAATTTGGTTTGCAATGATATGCTTCAAGTTGTCAGTGAATTTGCACTCACACTACCACTTGCTGCCTTCCCAGTTCGCTCAATTGGAAGTGGCTGCCCCAGAAAGGGATTGTTGCGCATTCAATTCCCAAAGTAGGACAAATTTTTTGGCCACAAACAAGCTTTCTCTATGAGAAAGCTTGTGTACCTTGCACAGAACTGCAAACCAACAACAGACTGACTGCCCTCTTACATTGCCTTTCAATTCCTGCTGTTTTTTTTCCTCCTCTCAGTGAGCATTGGACATTCGAGTCTTTTGTGCTACCAATAATTGTTCAGTTAAAATAACAGACTTTCATGTAATTATTGCAGGAGTTCGCAAGAGAAGTGGACCATTCTCAGCCGGAGTAGCTTGTGGAACCACACTTATAATTACTGTATGTCACTTTGAAGTGCATTCATTTCGGATCTTTGTTAGAATGCTTCTACTGTATATTGACGTCACCAATGGCAGTTTAGGTTCTAGACTTCTGCACCTCTGAAGAGTGACCGCTTGTGGGCCAACATGAAAAATGTGAAATACTCATCCAGAAGTTGGAATGAAGTGGCGGCAAGCACCGAAAAAATAAAACGAATGTCCGGGTAACAAGCAGGTGTCGTTGTTTTGTCTAAAAAATGCAAACTTTGCGTTTCACTTGACAACCACTTTTGACGTCACAAACTACGTGAGCCAAAGGAAATCCTGGAAGCATTTGCTATGGCAGCTATCTTTTTCGTTTACTTCACATGTGTTCACTGTTTAAACATTTGCCGATAGCAGGGACCTTGTTTGTGCCGTTGTCCTGACTTATATTTTGTGTGCTGTCATAATATTCATTTGCACGGATAGTGAGGGCTCTCCTTTGCAAGTAGGCTGCCATTCTGTGCGTGTTATTGTAGATGGTGCTAGTGAGCAAATGGGGAACACCAGCCTGGATAGATTGCATAAGTTGTGTAGGAGCAGCCTATAACTGCAGTTGCGATGTGATGTGGAGCAAACAAAACGTTGTTTTGTTAGCATGTGCTTCTTCGCTAAGAAAAGCAGCAATAGATGGCATAATGCGAAAAGCACTTTCTGTGATGAATGGCTGGCTAGGTCGGCCTCGCACATTGTTTGTTGAACTTGTCCCTGAGAAGACAAGGGTCTCTTGTTTGCTCTGTGCGAGACATGACAGCATACGCTCACTTATATGACATTCTTTAAAGGGGCCCCGTATAACTTTTTCAAGTAATCGTGAAATGACCTCGCAATTGGTACTTCTTGCCTCACGAACTGACTGCTGTGAAAATTTTTGAAATCCATCAAGTCACAGGGCTTTTCTGTACGCACTAAGAGCTTTTCTTTCATCCCAACCAATGCACTGCATAGAGAAAGTGGGGAATGATGAAAAGAAACGCTTTTTCTTTGGTCGTATGTGCAACCAACGTTTTGCACCAAGGTCATTTTGCGGGACTCCGTGGTAGCTGTTAGTAACCATGCAGCTCGCAGAGCTCAAGTGTTGTCTGGGTCTAAGGCATCCATTGTTCAGAGAGCTTATTTTGAACTTTATCTGCTGCACTATGTTTTGCAGCCTTGACTACCAACCGACAGCATTTTCTGACCGTATTCATAAAGCAGGGTCTTATTTCATTGCTTGTTGTGTCATAACCCCACCAGCTGGTCTCTAGTGCTGTGCGTAACGGCTTCAGGCAAGCCCTGTTGATCAGAACATAGATGGTCTGTTTTTGGTGAAGCTGTCCATGCATTGCCTGTATGAAATTAAAGCAGCATCAGAAGGGAGTGGGTGCACACCGTCATTATTGTGCATTTCCTTCTTATGATAGGGTAAACCTTTTCTATCTTCATTACTAAAAATAATACTCTGTGTAGAGCAAAATCATGGTCTGAAAATGCTGCCAATAGCTAGTAAAGGTAGCCAAATATTAACGTAGCACACGGGCTTGAATTCGAAATTCGGCCAAAAAATCTTTCTCTCGACAAATGATGCCCAAAATCACAGCGTCTCAGGCCAAGTATCGGCCATTGGCTAATTTGGGCATGGTGTGCTCGGTTGTTGCTGGGCCAGCTATGGAAGCACACGACTTGTCCATGCATGTGCATGCGATTGCACTGAAAAGCCGCGCATTCAAAAAATAAAGTGTGCTTGAGGTCATGAAGGGCGGGACAAATTTTTTCCCCGTACCATGCCTCCTTGCTCGGATTGCACTGCTTTCACTCTGACAAAGGAATAGACAATGCAATTGCTGTGTGCGACGAATCTTGTAACTTCATTTGTGCTGGACGTATTCTAAAAACATTTGTGGCAGTGAACTCCTGAGGCACTAAGCCCTTTTAGTAAATCCATTCTATTGCTGCCTGTAAAAGTGTTGCAGGGTCCTTTCAGAACGGCATTCAAACCCAGACCACCTGACAAACGTGAGAGCTTGTTTACATATTGTTTTCTTGCACGATTTCAGCGCTTGTGTGTTCTATTTATAACAAAATGGTTAGATAGTTTGTCATGTCATTTTCATAAGTTGCAATAGCAAATTTTCTCACATGAGATGCTTTTAAATGTGAAGAATTTTTTAGCGAACTTTGGCGACTTTCAGCATATCTATCTGTTTAACCGCTTACTCTTGGGTGCTCTTGTGATAACCCCTTTAGCTTGGTGTGAACCAAAATTATCATGGGAAGATAAGATGGTGTGATGAATATGACGCGCTGGTCAAAACATGATGTCACATTCCCCCCAAGCTTACATTATCAAACACTTCCCGCCAGACAGTGGCACATACCCACGGGCGAGTATGTGCCACTGATTTGCGTGTATGTACCATAAGTGGTTGACACTTAGTATTTACCGAGAAAGGACGAGAACACACTCGGGTAATTTTAACGCGCGAGCGTTAAGAAATACCCGACATCGGCAGCGTCGACCCGACGAACGCATAGAGTAAATGTCAGGGTCCCAGCTGGAATCGAACCCAAGCATTCTGCGTGGCAATGAAGCATTCTATCACAGAGGTGCACTAGGTCTCGGAACTACTTCTCATATAGACGCTAATCTTCATAAAATGTCAATAGTGGTTGCAGTGCTGTCTATCGAATTTTACTAACATTACACATGCACTCCCTTGATGTAGCCATCATGTCAGGTTAACGTCAATTGTGGTTAGGTGCCATGCACTGAAGTTGATTTTTGTAGCAGTTTCTAGGGCCAGCATCCTCGTAAGCATCAGCGCTTCATATCAGCTTCTGGTGTTGCTAATACGCATGTTCGTGTTGTTATCACTGTACAAGTGTAATCAACTCGTTATAAGAACATCCACAACTCTTCAACATGTCTGTGCATACGAAATTTGGACATATATGTACAGTCATTTCATGACGTGTCACATAATAAAAAAAAATTGCGACACGCTCACCTTCCCTCCAAATAACGTCGATTCCCAAGGTGCGTTAAGATCTGTCAAATTTTTTTTTTTTCTCGCCAGAGTCCTTGGTTATTGTGAGCACCTTCCAAGGGTGTTCTTGAACTTTAAAGGGGGCTCATTTTTTTTCTCAGACCAGCAGGCATGCTCACTAAAATAGAGAAAACATTACTTCTCAGTTTCAACTGTGCACATAAGTGGAAAGGATCTAAAGTAGATCAATAGGTAGGTACTGACCCTTTTGTAGTTATGCCCAATTGCCACACAAAAATGTGAATGGTTCTGAATTAATAAAGCATGGTACAAGCTTTGAAAAGGTTCTGCGAATCTAAGCAAATTTATTTTTCATTCACGGTAATTCCATTCTATTTATGTTGTGATAACTGAGCTAAAGTTGAAATGTACAACTGTCTTTTATACCTTGCTTAGCTTCATAGTCCTTTGTTTTCACTAGGCTGTGCTATAACTGCCTCTTGCACAAGAGCTTTTTACACATAGGTTTTGAAAACTGTCGTACAGATTATTTTGAAATACCATAATCCCCTCCAAACAGCGTAAACTCTCGCCGAAAAATGAGGTTCGACATATTTAAAACAAAGATTAATTTGACAGTCTGTTATAAGTAAAGATAGTAATCTGTATGTTCTGAGAGTTAAAGGGACACTAAAGTCGGCTAACGATTTAGATCAGAGTGAAAGCTCAATGTATGATAACATCTGAAATGACAATATCGTCAACAACAGTGCCCTACTTAGTAGCGAGAAATTAAGGTAAATGCACAAGAACACATGTGCCACGGTAGGAAAATTATTCACTAGTAATCGATCTAGCTGCACTAATTAACCTTCCATGCATCAATAGATGCAATAAAATGTTGCTTGTTCGCTTCTGTTTCATGGAAAAAGGAACCGCTGGACGTTACCATGGGGAATGATGCGAGTGGTTCGAAAATTCAATTTTCACGTAGTACCACTGGACGGGTGGTGCCATCTAGCGGGGCGCAGTTGCACCAAAAAGCGTCTGGAATCTCCGAGCCAATGGGCGGGAAATCGATAAATGGTCCCTGTTGCTGCTGTGGCCCCCCGCTGCTTTCGGTCTGCTGCTACTAGTGCAGTAAAGCCGAGCAACGCTGTGCACGGCAACAGTGATGCGAGTCAGTCCGGTCGGTCCGCTTCTTAAGGCGGGTAATTTGAGGTGCGCTAATCCGATGTGGACCACTAAAACGTGATCATATTTCAAAATAAGCCCTTCATCGGCACAAAAGTATCACTGTTAAATTTCTTGACTGCTATTTCAACAATTAACATCGACTTAATAGTTGCCTTTAGTGTCCAATTAAATGTTGGAACCCATTTTTTGGCAGGGATTGAAGCCACTATTGTGGTATTAGTGTGCCATATTACATGGTCATGCTGTCTTTAATTTCCAAAAAAACTCCTTGTACACTTTTATACACCATCCAACAGTTTGTTTCTCAAGTAAAAAGTGTAAAAGGCTGCAGGAAAAAACGCCAGACCTGCGCAGAAGGGGCAGCACAGTCAAAAGTGAAAGCTAGAAAAGCGACCTTTTAGAGCCTTTTATAAACACTCATTGGGTAACTGCTGCAAGCATGTTTGCTGGTTACCAACTGCTGGGTACCAACTTTTTGGTAGTAGACGAGCATTCGCTATGCTATTCTGCGTCATTCTTCTAAGAAGGGTCGTATCCGCTAAACACTTGCAAGGAATTTTGTGCCAATTGTTTATGCTGTGGCTGACGGCGATGAGGAATTATGCCTGTAGTGGGTATGCGCCACAGGTATTAGGTGACCAAAACGAGCTTTTGTGATGGGTTGGAGCATTGGACGACCCTCTGGTTACGCTATTCGCATTGTGTGACGCCTCGTAGGTTTTTTGATGTTCTAACACACATTACTATTCACATTAACGCGATTCTTTTTCTGACATCAAGCCTGCCTAAGGCAAATTTAAGAACAAGTCCCAAACACTTTTGAAGGTTTGTTGGACTGTGTGAAATTATGTCTTCCGCATGTGTGGGTGTGTCACAAACGAGAGCTCCGAAAAAGGGCGCGCCGCCGAATTCCAGCGACAGTAACGATACTAAGCGCAGAGAGGCTCCTCAAAGTCGACGATAAAGAAGAAAATAAACACCCAAAGGCTCCTTGGGTGCGCCGTCCCTCCCCTCTCGGAAGCGTAG